ACTTCTGTGAAATTAAACTGTTCACTTAGGAAGCAACACTGATTGACAATTTCACATGCTGTTGTGACACGTTCAATAAAGGAGTGGTCCTGCAGGTGGGGACCACAGACCTCTTCTAGTACCTATGCTTTCTGGCTGATGTATTTGATTGCTCTTGAATGTTGTTGGTGCTTTTACACTCGTGATAGAATGAAACACAAGGGGCTCAGGTAGTGCAGCTCATCCAGGATGGCACATCAATGAGAGCTATGGCAAGAACTTTTGCTGTGTCTGACAGCGTAGTGTCAAAAGGCTGGGGGAACTACAGTACCAGGAGGCAGGCCACTACATGGAGGACTCTGTAAGACAGCAACAACACAGCAGCAGGACTGCTACCTCCAGCTTTGTGAATAGAGGAGCAGGAAGACCACTGTAAAAGGACATCAAACCGGCCACAAATGTGCATGTGCCTGCTCAAATATTAGAAACTGACTCCAGGATGGTATGACTGCCTGATGTCCACAGATGGAGGTTGTGCTCACAGGCCAACACTGTGCAGAATGATTGGCATTTGCTAGAGAACACCAGGATTGGAAAATTCACCACTGGTATCCTGTGCTCTTCACAGATAAAAGCGGATACACACTGAACATACCGGCCAGCGATGGGGGATCTGGATTCAACAAGTCATCTCTTTGTCATGTATTTGTTCTACCCAGCCACTGAACCAGGTGTGTCCAATCTGGTTTAACCTGTGCAGATTGGACTCACCTGGTCAGAACAAATACATGACATAGAGATGACTTGATGACTCCAGATCCCCCATCTCTGATACCGGCAGACGTGACAAAGTCTGGAGACACCGTGGAGAGCTATCTGCTGTCTGCAACATCCTTCAGCATTTGTGGTTTGGCAGTGGAGCAGTAATGGTGTGGTCCGCACAGCCCTCCATGTACTAGCTAGAAGTAGTGTAACTGTCATCAGGTACCGAGATGAGATTCTCAGACCCCTTGTGAGACCATCTGTTGGTGCGGTTGGCCTTGGGTTCCGCCTAATGCAGAACAATGCTAGACCTCCGGTGGTTGGAGTATGTCACCAGTTCATGCAAGATGAAGGCATTAAAGCTATGAACTGGCCCGCCTGTTCCCCAAACCTGAATCTGATTAAGTACTTCTGGGACATAATGTCTCACTCCATCCAGCAACATCATGTTGCACCACAGATTTTCCAGGACTTTGTGTATGCTTTGTTCCAGGTATGTGAGAAGATCCCTCAGGAGACCATCCGCCATCCCATCAGGAGCATGTCCAGGCGGTATAGGGAGGTCTTAATGCATATGGAGGCCACATTCAATAGTCAGGCTCATTTTTACCTGTTTTGAAGACATTACTTCAAAGTACCATCGGTCATGTGTTTTTCCATTTAAATTTTTTTGCATGACTGCAAAGCCAGGCCTCCATTGATTAAAAAATATGATCCCCATTTATGATTATTTTTTGTGGTTTTGTTGTCAGCACGTTCAACCTTGTACAGAACAAATTATTCAATGAGAATATTTCATCCCTTCAGATCTAGGATGTGTTATCTGAGTGTCTTTATTTTTTTGAGCAGTGTATTTGTAAATAATTTGAATTTTTAAAATAATGCACATCTCCAGTTATGACTGACTTGCAGCCACTGTATATTGTTCCTTTTCTGTCATAGATGGATACATAAACCTTAGTTATTCCCTTTAGATGCTACCTACGGGAAATGTAACATTTCTGTAGCTAATGATGACAGCGTGTAAAGGTCGGTATTGTCTAGAATAGGAAGGAGTTTGTGCAGTGTTCTCCTTTCTGCCACTGTGAGAGAATTTGTGGCTACATTATAAACAGGTTAATGACTGATCGTAGGATGAAGCTCTTTGGGGTCCTTGTACTAGATAAAGAGATATACAATTACAGGATATTTTCTCTGTGCCAACGACTGACCACACCAGCACATCTCAGTGTAAAAAATAAAAGACGGCGCAGACAACAGACTGATAAAACATCTCCACTAAATTCCCACAGATCTTAAATTAATTTAAGACGTCCTACTCTGTCCTTTCTTATGCGGCTGCCCATGTTGTTCATTCAGCCCAGCTTGTTATCCAGTGATCCAGCAATCAATATTAATAGGTCTGCATAACCTCCTCCTCTCATAACAGAATTGGCCTTTGATTTGGTCTGTTTTGCGTTTTAGGCCATTTGTGTGGCACCAGACAACAAAGTTCTTCACCGGGCTCCTTTACTACCTTGACTGCAAGATCAGTCACAGTGTCTCAACATTAGGTAATAAATAGAGCTCTGATGTTTGAGGGATGTCTTTTCTGTTCATACAGTGAAGTTGACCTTGAGAGGAAAGACATAACTTGTTTTCTGTGTGGATCTTTCAGTGTTTGTTTTCTGTCCACTGAACAAAAACAGGAAAATTACAAGAACCCCCTTCATTATTTATATGCAGTACAGTTTCTGTGTTAGTTTTACGATCACAATAATCATGATTGTTTATCTTTGTAACCATCTAAGATATGATGCGTTTATGAGAAAATAAAAGCTTGAATATTGCCCTGATTTTAGTGAAATTAAACATTTCCAAATTATTCTCATCTTCTGTGAATGCTTCATGTCTCTTCAGGGTCTGTGCTGATGTTGCGGTGTGGCTCCCAGACTGCTGTATGTTTAGTCACCGCAGATCCAACTGTCATCCTTACACACCTAAACAGCAGCTTACAAACAACAGGTACCTCATCCCTCACATGCTTTGATCAGCTGAGAGCCTCTCATTGTCCTTTGTTTTTGTGTAAACATGCCTTATATCAGCCATGAAGTTTGTCTTGGGTATCCGCCTCAGTGATGTTCTGGAAATATGACTCATGCTTGTGTTTTACAGCTGCAGGCTTAAATTCGGTTAAAAAAGTGGCCCCTGAGTAGCTTAGTTTTTACTGCAGTTCAGTTGTATTTGAAACTAAAAAAATTGAACTGAAGAAATATCAGAAAAAAAAAAAAAAAAAAAAGCCTTTGTAGGGTTTTCTGTGTTTGATTGGTTCAAAGTTTTCTATTTAAGAAAAAACGGCTGATTTCATCGACTCATTGACTTGGCAGCAATCCCTCACATCTTTTGAGTTTCAGCAATCCCTCACGCCGAGCATGCATGTAGCAACAGTGGACAGGAAAAAACCTCAAGCAGACACAGGCTCAGTCTGAGCAGCATTCTGTGAACCCTTCAGCCCCCAAACAATTAAAATAGATGCTGATAAAATAGCTTATCAGGGTAAAAGTTTTATTAATAATATAGTGTATTTAAAGGGGTAGTGCTTCGAAGAATTGTGGTGCTTCTCTTATTTAAAACAGCTTTGGAGATTTAGATTTTTTTCTTATTTGAAATGATAGTCCAAAGCCAATAAAAGCTGAAACTTCAGGTAATATTTAAAGGTGTTTTATTTTGTCCCTGTGTAAAGTTTTACTTACATTTGTTTTAATGGTGTATACTCTATATGCACTAAATACTTTTTGTCATTGTTATGTTTATAAGAGTTGCCGTAGTGCTCATGAATCTCAGGATATTTATATGAAAACAAAAAAAAAACCCATTTCTAATGAAACTGGCTGTTCAGAACGGATGAAGTGAGGCGCAGAAAACATTGAGATGGCGACAGCTTTAATAAATACCCTGGACATGAAACATAACTTCTGATTTCATTGCTAGATATTTTAGATAATATTTTTGCCTTGGCTTGTAGAGCAGTTTGAAACTGGAGAGTTAGAACACATGGTTCCTCTTTGTGCAAATACAGTGGCTTGCAGAAATATACATACCCTTTGAATTTTTCCTCATTTTATCACATTGCAATTACAAACATAAATATAGTTTACTGGAATCTGGTATGCAGTTATGAAATAGGAAAATTATACATGATTAAAAACGGTTTAAAATACTTTTTGCAATGAAAAAAGTGCAGTGTGCAAAAAATATTCTGTCTTCTCTTATCTGTGTGCAAACTAATATCCATCAGAAGTTGCCTAATAATGCTAATAATCCCATTTACACTACCGAGCTTGGATCAGTTAACCGTACCGAGCTTGGTTCCTTACGACCATTTACACATAACGCTAGCATGGTTCCTCGCCTTCTAGTGACAATCTACGGTACTACTGCTCTGTAGAGGTAAACTAACAAATCAACATGGAGGCGCCCATAATATTCAGGAAGTTATATTTGGTTATAATTGTGATATTTCTTTGGTGAATTTTACATGACAGAGTTGGCTTTTGGGAAGTGGATATGACAAACAATAGTCTAATCAGGGCTTACAGACGCAGGAAACAACGTCAGATGTTGAGGTTTATCACACTGCTAAACGGAACCATGACTGGAAATCGTGTGGCAATTGCTTGGACTCCCAGTGAATCATGGGATACCCAAAGCTATGTATATCTATACACCGGACCTGTCCTTTAAAACAGCAAAAAGAAGGCTGCATTTGTCGGCCATATAACGAGGAGTCTGAACAGGACAACACTCCATGCTATGATATAATGACAGACGAATCTGGCAATTTTGTGAGAAACTAATTGAAATGCAGTTTATGTACCATTTGTACCATATGTACCATGCTATCACTGGGATTGACTAACAGTTCAGAACAAGCTGAAGACTGGTGCCAGGAAACATGGGCCTCCATTGCAACTAAACAGCGCCACAGGCTGGTTTTCCTGCTGCAAGTTGATGCTGGTATGATGCAGTTATCCTAGCAAAAAGAGTCCCGTTAGATATGCAGTGGATACGGTACGGTTTATAAAAATACTTTTAGCACTAAATGTTTCTGTATTTCTTTCCTAGAGAGAAAACTTTATTAGTTGTAAGTCGTAATCATCCAATATTTCACATTATTTAAATTATAAGATCAGCATCTTTTTAGTTTTAGTTTTTGAATTATATTTCTAAAAAGACAAATACCTTGTATTGAGATCCTACTTCGCTAAGTTTTACCCCTGGGTACTGATTTTCTGTTAGTTTGTGCTGTTTTTGTGCAGCATTATGAACTGGCTCATCAATATAGAAATGAGGTTGCCTTGCCTTAGTAATTTTCATACTCTGTGATATATCACATTTCTGGAATCTTGCTCTCAGTTTAATCAAATGTAGTCTATTAATTCAGCAGCAACGCATGTGGCACAATAAAAATAAACAGCTGTAAGTTGATCTGCTTCTGGTTTCTTTCCGTTCCTGGAACTGAGTTTCCTGAAACTGACATCAGCTGTTGTGTAGCAGGTGAAATCAAACACCACTAACATGGCTGGTTGTTATTCTAACACAGCTTTGTACTAATTGTTCTTTAATTAAACTGTTTTTTTAGCTTATGTTTGCTGTATCTGGCTTACTTTGGTGTCCTCCTACATCTTGTTTTAGATATTTACTTCCATTCCCTTTAAGTCGATTAAAAACTGCTTCCCTGTTTCTTCTACTTTTTTTCGTCTTTTATTTGTCAAATTTTTTGTTGTTTTCACTTTAGTGGTAGGTTTTTGCATTTGTTTTATCGATTTATTCAGTAACTTTACTGTTTGATCATTTTATACATTTGGCTCCCAGGAGTTTTTACACTAGTGGGCATCAATCCGACCATTTTTATGGGTCCATCCTAGGGGTGCACCATTTGAAAAGTCCGACATGCTGATTTTGAGTGATACAGATTTTTTTTAATAACGGACAATGTCAGTTGTTATAAGATCCCAAAACCCCTTATATATTTTAAACTTATCTTACTGAAAGACATTAATCAATACCTGTTAAATATATAATAAATAACAGCTTCTAAAATGACTGCTCTCAGATGTAAATAAAAGTTTTGAGCATTGATTTACAGACCTTTGCAGAGGTAGAAAAGATCTACCTGTGGAAAAGATCAGTCTCACATCTTAGTATCAGCACATCACAGATCTCCCAAAACGAAGGAAATTGAGGCTGAAATAATTGGCTGGCTGATCGATCAGTGCTCCCCTAGTCCATACATTTTTAGAATACTTCACTGCTAACAGTTGTATAAGATGGTTTCATTTTCAATGGCATTTATATTGTCATAGTGAACGTAGATTCACAAAGTGCTTTCACTACTCATATGTGACCCCCTAAGGAAAACCAAGAGTACGCTGTTTATTATGAGCTGTTTATTATGAGCATTCAATCTAAATTCAGTCATTAATGCTTCTCAGCCTGCAGCTGGGTTTTATTATCTCATTTTGAAGCAAAACGGGAGTATGTTATTGAAGTTTTCAGTCAAAGACAACTTGTTGATGAAAAAACTATGCACTTTTTTTGAATATTTAGAAAAATTGAACTGTGACAGAAGAGTGGCATAAAGCTAAAAGGCAGTCCAATGGTTTTACTTGTTTGAGTATCTTTAATAATATACACTAAGGAATTAAACTAAATAGTGTTTGCAGTGTTAGTGGGAGTAGCTGCAGAGTAGCTGAAAGCTGTTTTAGTGGTGAGGTTTTTTTCCCGATGGAACTCATCCTTCTTGCTGAGGGGGAGAGTCTAAAACTGTTTGAGTCCTTTGGGGAAGGGGTTAGCATCAATCGTTTCTGCTTAATTCTGAGTTATGGGGACATACAGTTCCTAACAAAAGAAAATTGTAAGCAGTCAGTCTCTCTTAGGAGCGAGGAGGCAGGTGTGTACCATGTGGTGATGCGTTGTGGATAGACGTAATGATGGCAGAAGAGAAAGGCTGGGATCCAAAGTTGTGACAGTCTCAGCATTTAATGATAAAATAAAAAATGGTTGCATACCCTTTTAAACATACACCCTTGACTGTTGTCTACAGATCTGCGGACATACAGTTCTTACAACATGTGGCTGGGGTTGACCCTGGCTTTACTTTCCGCCTTCCTGATTGGTGGTAGTGTCATCCTCAAGAAGAAAGCTCTCCTTCGATTGGCCATCAATGGACACACCAGAGCAGGTGAGCAGACACGGATGTTGACATGTAGTTGATGTTTACTCAGTCTCTCAGGCTACGCAGCTGGAAGAAAAATCCCTGCAGTAGCAACAAACATGGTAACAAAAATGAACTTTTGGCTTTATTAAAAAGAGAAACTATAAATAGAAAACTTATACATTACAGAAATGGACTAACGAGGGCTCATAAGATTAAAAGATTAAATGAGGAATCACAAAGGTAGGTTAGAGTAATCTAATAGAGACTATTTATATGAATATTAAATGTACTTTTATCATGAATTTTTTATCCTTTTATCCACCCTACAGTAGTTAAATGTATAATGAAATAATTCCTTTAGTATATTTGGGTTTTTATTTCTTATAAAATAAAGTTGTTTTATTCCAACACCTCAAAGTGAAGCAGCCTCTCTGTTTGGGTGCCGCCAATTTCATGACGTCATCCTATCACAACACTTCTGAGGGCTGAAAAAAGTCTGTGACCTCCCTCTGACATTTAATAGATTTTAACAACTTAGACATTAGCTGAAAAAAAGAGAGGTTACCACCTGATGCAGATTTGCCTCTAAAAGAACCACTTTGCTTTAATTTTGAGCTGGAATCATCCCGCTCTGCCTCACATCACCCCTTCCTGATTGGAGAGTGATCGTGTAAATAAAGCACAGGCACAGCGAGGTTATAGTAGGTGCTTCCAGGAGGGAGATATTCTCCAACTGCTTGTTTTCACAGGTCAATAAGCCTAATGGGTTGTTTTGCAATGGTCCCAATATAACCTATTTGGTGCTAGCAGGTAGATGATCATGCCATAAGAGTTTTTTAACTGGTAACATAAACACTGCACACACAGACATAGGTCTGCTGCAATTATTTTTGAATAATCATCACGTGGAAACTACTGTAAAGGAGTATCATGAGTATATTAATTGATTTATTACTATGAAGTTTTATTATTATGACTATGAATCTGTGAAGATTCTCAGTCATTAGGTTTATCGTCAAGCTTTAAAATGTCAGTTTAGACACCTGGACATGAAGTTTTCTGCAAGACGTATCCTATCTCATCCAAGAGGCTTTTTCAGTTCTAAGTGATGGTGGGGAGCATCAACATTAATTCACTGTAGGTTTAACACAAAAATTGGGGGAAAAACCAAACAAAAGGCTCTGTCCCTACTGGATGGGCCATGGAGGTCACCTAGGGGGGTGTTGATGGTTATTGGGGGGCTCCTGATGGTAAATAGCTTTTTTAGTTGACATATTAGCAAGCTGTGAGCTGTAGGTCTGAGCCTGGATCTTGTGTTGTCAGAGCAGACATTAACCTGTTTATATCTTTTATTATGTTGTACAAAATACACATTTCAAAGCTTTGTGTGTACAAAAGAAATGACAATGCATAACATTAAAGGTATTAACAGTGCTTTTAGATGTTCAATTGGAAAAACAATATAATATTTCCTTTCACTTCACAATTATCAATCACTTTAGTCTACCAGATGAAATCTCAATGAAGTCAAGTGAGTATTGTTTTTATAAAATGACAACATTTTCAAACTCCACAGTACAAAAATACTATTTAAAGGCATTGTATGATTTCAGTTTGGATGTCATCACCAACAACAGTGGCAGAGCTACCTGACAAGGATATACCTCTGTTTGTTTTTGCAGGTGATGGTGGATATGGCTACCTTAAGGACTGGCTGTGGTGGGGAGGACTGTTAACTAGTAAGAGCTTGGTTTAAACTCCAGTGTAAATGAAACAAAACACCTGGAGAAGTTTATTGCCTTTTTTATTGTTGGAATACATCGGACAGAAAGTCCGGTAATATGATCAGACAGAAGATCGTTATCATATGAAGACATTGTAATTACATCTTAGTGGAATGCATAGCTGGACCACAAGGGATTTTCTGAAACCCCTGGTCTATTTTTATCAGACCCATGTAGAAATCTGACAGTACTGTGATAAGTCAGACAGGAGGAGACACACTGTGACAAAGAACAACTCGTCTGCTTTGAGCAAAATACAAATTAATGAATTATAAGGTAAACCAGCCAGGTTTGTAGCCGTACAGGTTAGTTTGGAATCACATATGTATATAAAGAAGACAGAGCAGACTTGGACATCAGCAATCAAGGAAGTATTTTAATGAACCAAATGGCGATCTTTAGGTTTGTTAGAGCAGCAGCTGCAGATTAACATTTATTACCTTGTTTATGCTGGGAGAATTTCCAGGATGAACTCTCCAGTGAATGCTTGATCTCGTGTGGCTGGTGGTCTATAGGGGGAGCCTCTATGCAGCAAGTATGAAAGAAAAAAAAAAACAGCATCAGAGCTTGTAGAGTTGGATGCAAACAATGTGTTTCCAGCCTTTAAATCAGAATGCTTAAAAATATTTTAGCTGATTTAAATATATAAGTCATTTCTATAAAAAGGAAATGCATGGGTTTTGGTAGTTTGCCATTTTTGAGCCTTAATTGGCTGAATTAGAACAGTACCAGAATAAAAAAAAAAAAAAAGCAGCAGTGATCTTGGGGAAGAAATTATGGTCGGCAACCAGCCGGAAACAGTGAATAGATTCTAAAATCATTTCAAAATAAAATAAATAATTTTAGCTAGGTTATTTTCTGGGTTTCCATTTTGTCTTAAAAAAATCTTACATTTGAATGTAATTTATTTACACCTTAATATTAAGGTGATTGTCTTTAGTTAAAACTTCATTTTGTACACCTGCATTTTCCATTATATTAATAAGTGTTTTGTAATTTACAGTTCTAAAGCTTGTATTATGTTGGTTCTTATCAATCACTCATGTCACTCAAACTTGTATTAAACACATTTCCTGAAAACAGTCAAAGTTGGTGGCCTCCTTAGATTATATTGAAGGGTGAAACTATGACCTAAAGTAAAACTTAAACTACAGGTTGCTGTTTCTGTTTTTATAAAATTTGTACTTTTTGTTTGTCTGTGATGTATCTGTCTACATTTGATCACTGCTGCACTTTAAGAAATGGAAATGTAATGAGAGCTGTTCAAAACTAAATTTCATTTTGCATACAAAATGACAATAAAAGCTGTCTAAGTCTAAGTATCTCTGCAGTGGGCGCTGGGGAGGTGTGCAACTTTGCGGCCTACATGTTTGCTCCGGCCACGCTGGTGACTCCGCTAGGAGCACTTAGTGTCCTCATCAGGTAGCTGCAGATTTCCACACAGTCGTAGACGAGTTATCAAAATGCTGTATTTTATCCCGTTTAATGATGTTTTACTTATTTGCTTTTTAGTGCAGTTCTCTCATCCCACCTGCTGGGGGAGCAGTTGAATGTGGTGGGAAAGCTTGGTTGCCTTCTGTGCCTACTGGGCAGCGTTCTGTTGGTAATTCATGCTCCACAAGAACAGGAAGTAACATCTCTACAGGATATGACCAATAAGCTGCTGGAGCCAGGTGAGAAGACAAGCCTACTATTTTTCCAGATATGGATAACTTGCTTGTTTTGCTTTTCTTACTTGTGTTGTATTCTTACACCCACTGCGCATATAATGTTTTTTTTTTTTTTTTTTTTGTAATATTATAAAAGAAAAGCTAAATCAAGTAAAATTATGCTGAAAAAATCAATACATAAAGATCCTGATTAAGTCACAAAATAGAAGACCTTTTTTTAGCTTTATCGTAACAAAGTTGGAGCCGGTTTTGGTAAATGAAATGAAGATGTTTAGGCTTTTAACTGGCACTTAATGTCCAGTGTTCATTAGTTAGTAAACTGCCCAATTCCTGTAAAAGAGCTTGCGAGTCAAATAGTATTTACAGTGTCAATGATTTAAAGTACTTCAAATTAATTGTTGCTGCATGTTTTTATCAATTAAATCATTTCTTTAGCTGTGACTGCAGAATTTTACCTGGCTAAACACATGAAAACAGTTTTTTCCTTTTTGATTTAAGATTGAATAGAATTGGGCAATCGGAGTACCACAAACTCACAGTAACTGTTGATAACCAGGGTTATAGGGTGACGATACGTCTGAGTGTCTCATGCACAAAGGTGGATGTAACTGCTGATAAACTTTAGATGCATCTTTAATGAAATGAAGGTGAAAATGCCCTCAGCTTAGATTGAAAGGAAAGTCAGTCATTGAACTCATGTCTACAGCATAACAAAACCTGGTTTCACCTCTACAGGTCCTGTTAGAAAAGCTGTTATCATTATTAGTCTTTTTGTAGCTAGCACTTTGATACTTTAAATGGATGCCTAACTTGTTGCTTATCCTTGTTTATTTGTTTTGCATCTCTGCTTGTCCGTGTCAGGTTTCCTGGCCTACATTGTGGCAGTGTTGGTTCTGTGTGCGGTCCTCGTGTTGTATGTCTGTCCCCGGTATGGTCCTTCTAACATCCTGATCTACATAAGCATCTGCTCATTGCTGGGAGCCTTCACTGTGTCCTCTGTGAAGGGCCTGGCCATCGCCATCAACACCGGTGAGATGCTGCAAATGGCCGTATGCTTTGATGCTCATTATCCTGAAAACCTTTGGTGAAAGTGTCACAGAGAAGTGCTCCGGTAAACCGTTTTATGAAACATGTTTTCTCTTCACTCAGTGGTTTATGACATATCTGTGCTCACCAACCCTCTCACCTGGATCCTGCTTCTCACCCTCATTGTTTCCATAGTAACACAGGTAAGTTGGATTTACAAAAATACACAGTGAAAATACACAAACAATTTTGTTTCTTTGACAAATTTAAGTTATGATATTGAGCCTGATTGCTGTAAACAGTATATCTGGTTATACAGACCAGTAATCATTAACATGGTCAAACATAATATCTGTTTTTCTCAATTTCCAACATTTTTAACAAGTTTACAAAACATAAAATTCTCTGACATGGGGTTCAAGATGGGTTACTCTTTTTAAGTGATCCCACATTTTAGTGTATTTAGGTATTGGAATTAATGTTTAATCAGTTTTTTTATTTTATGAATTATTTTGAACTAGTTGTAATATAGCAACTTTATAATAACTGTTTCTTACTTATAGACAAACCTTACCCAATAAAAAAACACTGTGGACCTTAGAGGTATGAGTTTGAGGTTGTCAACACCCAGCTCTGAGGCTGCAACAAAGGAGGAGACAGAAGAGGTTTAGCAATATTTCAGAAATAGCTTAATTCTTTCAAAATAAAGCTGAGATCATGAGATGAGCTTGAAAAAAGGCATATATATGCCAGTCTGGCCCGTGGAAACTTGTGTCGCTCATATTAGTAAATGTCATTGTGATCCAAAGGATATATTTCTATTTATTTAGCTTCATATCTCAATTATACAATAAACAAGTGAATGCCAGCAGTGTACAATGACATTAAATAGGAGAAAACAAATAAAGAATAGTAACAGGTTGGTATGTTAAAAAGGAGGAAAAATAAAAATAAATAAATACTCAATTTGTCACATATTTTGTTTTAAATGCTTTTTGGATTCCAGGTTCCTTAATTGTGATGTTGTTTTGTTTAAGTTGTTTTCCCCTTTTAAATCTTTTAAATCCAATGAAAGGGCACATTATTGTTTCCTGAACAGCTGATTGGCTGCTGAGTGGAGCGTTTTCTAGATTTATCCTGAAAGCTCATCTGCCTGGAGCAGGTTTGCCGTTAAAAGTACATTACCATGGTAACTGGCCTAGCTAAGAATGAATCCAACTTTGTGGTAATGGAAGTACAGTTAAACCTGAAGTTGTCCCGCTAACCCAGTAATCCATCTCCTTGGTACAGGCCTCTGTTGGTTAGACTGAAGTCAGCTGTCTGTTTTTGCAGGTGAACTATCTAAACAAGTCTCTGGATACCTTCAACACCCTGCTGGTGTATCCCATCTATTATGTCCTCTTCACCTCTGTGGTCCTGTCCACCTCCATCATCCTCTTCCAGGAGTGGAGCAGCATGTCTGCTGTGGATGTTGTCACAACACTGGGTTCGTTCCTGGTCATTGTGGTGGGTGTGGCCATGCTGCACTTGTTCAGAGAGCTGCAGGTGGGCATTCCTTCCCCCTTTACATCCCTCCTTGAATGAATGAAAGCTTTTGTTGTATTTTTTTCCCCTTTTTTTGTACTAATAAAGATACAACCTCGTGCAGAAATCTGATGCTTGATTTAATTTCTCTTGATGCAGATTACAATGAAGGAGCTGTCCAATCAGCTTTCTCAGCCAGTGGAGAGGGAGGGTCTTACAGAAGAGATCACAGCCAGTGGAAGAGGAAGGAGGAATAAAAAGGAGGATAAATATGGATTGATTGACAATGTAGTGATAGAAAGTTTACCTCCTATGAGAGAAGAGGGACCCAGAGTCTTCATCATCAGCTGAAAGAGAGAAAATGTTTGTGTACTCATTATTACTGATAGTTCAAGCACTTTTTCAAACTTTTGGACCTCTGGTTTGCTGGATTTTCAGTTTATTCTGTTGGTCCACCTAATCTCACATGGCAGTGTAATGTATGCTGCTGCCCTCTGAAGGTACTTACACCTCGGGGCTTATTCCCAGTTCTTTATACCTGGAGCGATCACTCTTTGAATAACTCTTATAGAACATGAGTCTTAGACAAGACTTTAACAATATTTATTCTAGGTTTAGCAGAGAAATGGTACAGTTAGAGCACTGTAGCTCAAGTTGTCCTATGTGTCAAAAAATGATAATGAGCCAAAAAAAAAAAAAAAATCTGATTCTTGGTATACCTCAATATAATGTGTCCACCAGGTGGATTGTTAGCTGTTGTGTGTCATCATTTGACACTCCAATCATAGCACAAAACCTGCCATAGTTCCCTGCTGCATGTTTAACTTCAGGATGCAAACATGCTTCCTCTTTATCAAGCCTGGCCCTTGAGAAAAGGAATTATATTATTTGTTATAAATGTAGGCTGTTATATCTAATTAGTTGCTTTGTATCTTCCCATTCTCTTTCCCTAACCTTGTGACTTACATCATGAAGATGATAACTTGCATCTCTGCTTCAACTAATATGACTGTTTAGGGAATGTAATCAAAACATTTCAATTTATGCCTTATAGTATTATACTATGGGTAGGTAAAACTATAAAATTTACGCAGAAGTATACACATCTGTTATACTTAAAAACGTAGGTATTTTTATTGTTTAAAAAAACATTTTTAAGAAGGAGAAAGATTAATCCTAATGACTGTATTCAGAGGTACAGTCCAAGTTGCCCTTTTTAATTTGAAACACTTATCTTTTAAATAGGCTTTAAAAAAGACTTACTGTATCTTTTTTCTCTTCTTCCTATGACTTTATATATTAAACATAACACCGCTGCCACAACCTACTTTGGTGATTTAGAGATCAATTAAGGGAGGAGATCTATTTCCTCATTCTTCTGCATATTACTTTGCTGCTTTTTAACAAACCACTAAGATGTTTAGAAGACATCTTAGAACCAACTTGGAAGTGTTTTTCTTAAAGGGACGGAAACCAGGTTGTATCAGCTAAGGCCGCCGTCATGGACAGATCCATGTAGTGTTTTAAGGATTCAAAATAACCATTTATTGTTAAAGTAAATGACTATTATATTAAGGTAGTTTGAATACAACCGGTATCCAGAAATCACACTTACTCTAGCTGCCAAACCCTATAAACAGGACAATTTGTTATTCCATTGTAGTCTGTGTTTCAGTCTCCTTATAAGCTTTTGTACCATCTTTCCAGAAAAGATTCCTCCATTACAAACGTTATCCCCCCCCCAAAAAGAAAGATAAAGTGACGATATTACAACTTCTCATTGGTTTCCACTTCTGAGATTCCAGGCTGGAGGAAACATTCCAGATGCGTAAGAAATTGAATAGATTATTCTGAAAGCATTGCAAAAATAGCTGAAACCACATCCTCCACAATGTTTTAAAGAGGGGGGATTATTTTAATGCTTGCCTTTAATTAGTTAGTTTTAATTGGGATTAAACATTGTTGTAAACATATTTTTGATGTTTAGATCCATTTAAATTTCTACAAACGTGATATCAAGTCCCAGAGAGCCTGATTTTTATTGGTTTTTACTTTTAAGATTAGTTGACCAAAAAGTCTGCATTAGGTAAAAGATTCCATTAAAATGAAACAGCAATGATCAGTTTGAATAATTCATGATTTCAAAGAGGGAATTCTGTAAAGCGTTTCAAACTATTGAAGCTTTAATCAAAATACAATTTACCACCTCTGACATTTACACTTGTTAAGGGAGTCTGAGCAAAGTTTTTACTAGTTTCGTCTATGAGCCTGTGTTTTCTGTAAGTTAAAGCTTGCTGTGGTCTTACCTGGAGCCCTTGAATTTATTAACTACATTTTTTTATTTCATCAAACTTAAGAGAGAAATAGCATATTGGTAATCAGTAATACTTGAATGTTTAAGTTTTTTAGTTCCTAGTAGTGCCTGGAAATCAGTGGAGTCTCCTATAGTTTTTCCATCTTTACAGTATGTTCCTCTGAGCTGAAGACTGGAGTATATGAAGCAGACAAAACAGTCAGGATATGAGTTCAAGTTGAGTTTGTTAGGACAGGTCATCTGTTATTGACAGATGCTAATGCAGATGGTTTATGCAAATAGCTGAATACCGATATCAGAGGTCAGCCTAATTAATGGTGAGCTGTTTATCTGCAGTATTGAATGAGCTGAGATTCTTATGCTAGTCGAAATGTTCTGCTATGAAGTTGGCTGGTTTTCAAGTATCTGGACTCAGACTACCTGCTGTACAGATTACAGCAGGCGTGGACCTCATCAATTTACAGAGTGAAAGATTATAGATTGATCCAAACCGTAGAGCCATGGTAGATCAAAAACTTTTGATAAAGATTGTGAAACTTGACTGTTTGCTGCTGAAGACATTTCAGTTTATGAAGCTCAAGGGAACCAAAGAACAAAAATGTAGGTTTCAGATATAACCTGAATTGTTTTCTCCTCCTAATCATTTCAGTCCAAATATGTTTTGTCTGGAAAAAGATCAAACTGGTTATATAATGTTCAAATCTTTTGAGAACTTTGTTAAGAAATAAAACTGATTTATCTAAATACCTTTCCGCACCATTTTGTCTGTGTTTTTATGTATTTATGTATAGCATACCCCTTTATAAAGCTCTTTAAAAATAAAGATAATCAAAGAGCTGTACATGCATTTGAAAGCAACAGCAAAATTGAAATAGACAAGCATAATACAGACAAGCTAAAATAAGAGTTTTTAAAAAACATATTTCAAGTTAAAATAGAACAATAGAAATTTTCAATAAAGAATTAAAAATAATTAAAACCAGATAAAAATAAAATAAAATTGGGTCAAGCTCTCAGGATGTAGAAAATGCCTCAACAAACAGGTGTGTTTTAAGAAGCCACCTGGGAGTCATCTGCATAAAAGTGGAAGGAAACTCCATCTGTCCTGAAGATGAGCCTAAGAGGAAGCAGGTACAAGGAGAAAGGCAAGGGGCCTAATATTGATCCCTGTTGTACCCCACACTGGAAAGGAGTGGCAGAGGACATTAAGTTCCCAAATTTACTAAGAGTTTGTTCTGCCAAAGAGGACCTGAACAACTAAGGCAGTGGTCCTGACAGCCACACAGTGCTCCACATGAGAAATACAAATTTTATGCTCAACCATGTCAAAGACAGCAGTAAAATCCAAAAGCACAATATGTGTATTTATATATATATATATATATATATATATATATATATATATATATATACAAATAATAATAAACACAAATTTAATTAAATTTTTATTTTGTTCAATAAATTATTGATTTATATTCTTTAAATAAATAATTCTAAAAAAAAAAACTGTCCCAGACAAATTAAAATACCTAACTCATGAACAGTGAACCAACATACCTTTCAACAGGTGCAGTAGTCTTATTGATAAATTCATTACACAAAACACCCGATTTCAGTGATTGCCTGAAAGTGTTGCTCAATGAAAATTTAGTTTTGGAGCTCTATTTTCTAGACAGACTCCTGTTGGTTCACCTAAACGCCAAGGTGTGACGGCTCCATAAGCAAAGGAGCAGCCATCAGGACTCAAGCAGGAGTTTGTTGTGAAGAAGCCATGAAACTGTACACCTGCTTCAACAAACCCACTAATTGAGATGTGACAGACAGCACTGCAAGGATCACGTTCTTTGATTTCTCCAGTGCATTTAACGTGATTCAGCCTGACCTACTCCGGTGGTTTCAGGTGGAGGCATCAATCAGGATCAAAGACAAACTGACAATCAGTTTGAGACTTTGTGTGTGGCCATGTTTTTCTTACCATGTGGGCACAATTTGCCAGGAAAATGCCCAATTTTGGGGACTTCTAGGTATTAGTGGGGAACAACAACTGGTCTCCATGAGGAGAAGTTATCTTATTTGGGTGTGGGTTAGGTTTACAACTAAGGTGTGAATTGATTTTAGAGTTAGGCATGCTTTGCTAATGGTTAGAGTTGGTTCAAATCAATGCAATATAAATGGGAATCAATGGAAAGTCCCCAAAAGGATAGTGTGACATAATGTGTGTGTGTTCTTGCTTATGTTAGTTATTTAGGACCTTTTTTGTTATATTTACTAACTGTCTAAGGGCCAACAGACAATGTGGGGCTAATGTGGCAGACCCCCATATTTAATGTTAGAGAGCGAGTAAGTCTAAGGTTGGGTTAGAGATATATGATAAATATGGAGTTAGATATCAAAAATACACCTATGTGATTCATACATGTACAGGACAAGATCAACACAGCATGATTCAGACAAGCGCACAAGGTCACACACGAGCTTGATGAGAGCATGCGCTATATTATTATTTAATTCATAGGAAAAAAACATGCGGTAATGAATGGTTAATTTAATATCACAAAAGGAAATCTTACCATCAGCATCAATCACACACGTTTCTGCTCAAACATTTTCTTTATGTTGTGGGTTTTTGTAAAAGGAATAATCATACAAATCTGGTTTGTTCTCTACCTCCAAACTACCTCAATCTCTTCATCTATGGCTGTGATAAGAAGTTTCTTTTGAAGTTGTGAGAAGCGTGAGAAGTCTTGGAAGCTGTTGTGATTGGATTTGATTAAACTTTTAAGCCTCTCAGGATAAAATAAATATTTTGATGGAGATGAGAAATCTGCTTCCTGGTATGATGAAGTACTAATAGTTTACATCCAATGATTTAATAATTTGTTTAAACAGTTTTTTGGGAATATTTAAGAATTATGCTCTAATTTTTGGTTACAAAGCTGTCGTTACTATATTTTAATTTGAAAAACCGGATCTTCTCGGCGTTCTTTTTCATGTTTTGTATGATTGCAATTGCGGATCTTGACCTGGCCGGACTGGAACTAAAAATAGCTCGGCTCTGTATTGTGACAGTGAAGGACAGAGAAGACGTATGTGGACGGCAACGTTCGAAGAACTAGCGGTGGATGTGGAACAATTCTCATTGATTAACATTACAGGCGAGTGTTCCACATGACGTACATGAGTGGGGCAGAAGTTATACCTATTGCAGAGGTTATGCCCTAACTCAAGACAGAATCTTGTTCTTTGCATGTGTGGATCTTGTGCTGTGCATGTGTGTATTTTTTTGTGCTTGTATGAATCATTCTGTGAGTGTGTGGATCTTGTACTGTGGGTGTGTGGATTTGTGAAAATTTAGACCAATCTAGCTTCATAGATAAATGTCATGGTTAGACATAATTACAGGAACTAAAATGAATGTTAGTCAATGGTAAATGTTGATTAAGATGGAAATACAAACTGGGAAAATATCTTGGTCTCGATGGTGAAATATTGGTATGTGAATGTGCAGAATGGCAACTCAGGTAGAAAAGGAAGAGAAAGATTTAGCAGCAGTTTTGAATAGGAAAGACAGAGATGGAGGAGAAGAAAAAAGGAGGAAAAGAGGTGGTTTGACAGTCAAGAAAGTAAAACAAAATTAGAAGAGCTGGATCGGAGCTTGTGTGCCTGGCTTTGTCTTTCCTGACGGGACCACCTGTGGAACTAGTTAGGAGTTGTCTTTTGTATATCTGCTTCTTTCTGTATGTCTCCATCTGTCTCCTTGAACCCCAGTTGGCCTCAGCAGTTGACTGCTCACACTGAGTCTGGTTCTGCTGGGGGTTTCTTCCCCTTCAAAGAGAGTTTTCCTCTCCACTGTCGCTACAAGCATGCTTGGTGTGAGGGATTGCCTTTGAGTCAATGAGTCAATGTAATCAACTGTTTTTCCTTAGATAGAAAACATTGAATCAATCTGACTGAATGATCTGGTTGAATTGCAAAGTGCCTTGAGATGACATTTATTGTGAATTGGCGCTATATAAATAAACTGAACTGACTTTAAATTTAATATAGCAAAGCAGTTTGGCTCAAGAAAGGAAGGTGTTAATGACAAAATTACAAAAAACAAAGTTCAAAGTAATACTTTTGTGGACATTTATTGAAAATAAACAGAAATAACTTGAATATTACAAAATCATAAATAAAAGATTTATGAAAAAAACCAAACAAATGAAAGCCGGATATTGCTTTTCAACCATGCTTCAACAGAATGATAAAAAAAA